CCCCCCCCCCCGACATCCAGTCAGGCCCAGTGTCAACCTCACCAGCCTGCATTTGATACAGAAAACTGCACTTAAAAGGGAGCTATAGCAAAACATGATGAGCTCTGATGTTTTCATCCATTTTCTGGCTCCCTGAAGAAAATCACTCTCACAGATCCAGGCGATATTGGCGTTTGTGCATGACATTTCTCCTATCCCTGGCAGAGATGAGAACGTGAAAGGCCGGTGGGATGCATTTATAAAACTCTGCTGATGTCTGGAGTGCCAGGGTAAAAGGTCAAGCAAAGATATTCAGGTTGTGGGGACACACAGCTGAGCTGAGTTCTGCCAATACACTGCAGGCGCTGTAATCTGCAGTCAAACAAGCCTCACTTACGCACGCTGGAAGACTGTAGGAAGGTGTGTCCGCTGAGGACGTAATTCAGCTCTTTCACATACTGCGGTTGCACCATCTCAAATTAAAGCATGCAAAAAACAACAGGAAGGAAGAATCACTGCCTTTTATTGAATAGAACTTTTTTCCTATGAAATAAAGTGTCTGATCTTTGTGCCAGCACAGCCAGCTAAAAAAATACTGTATTCTGAGGTCTTTAAAGCAGAAATGATAAACATGTGACCAATAATTTAATCATTAACCTAACAAGAACCTGATTAGTTCTTCACTGACTTTCCACCAAATTTCATTGAGCTGTCATTTTTAAAGTATGCTTCTAACTAACAAACACACAGGATCAAAAACATAACTTCTGGCAGAGACACAATAATAAGGGCTTTCCACCACCTACATAATCAATTTGAATGCTGAGCCAGATCATGTAAAAAAAACCAAAAAGGAGCATGGAAGAAATATAAGCACAGAGCAAATCGGTCGATCCAGATGCCTCTGCTGGCTGTACAACAACTGGGCTTCTGATCCAACTGAATGCTTCTATAGATAGAATGCAAGCTGGCTCATAGGATCGCTGAGCCAAAGGGACCCTGAGCCCCGAAGGGAGCCACAGTTAGATTGGAACAATGGTTTCCCAGGTGCACAGACAGATACTGGTGATGACGGGCTGCACTCCACAGGGATGATGCAGCCTGTCGGCTCTGTGCTGCTGCTTTTGTTTACACATTTCCGAGTGGAGCCGGTCGTCACTTTTGGGCGTCCTTGAGGAAAGTTACTGTAGGTTGGCGCCGAGAAAAATGATGAACTGGGAGATGATGAGGCCTTTAATTAGCTTCAAGGCAGGATGATAATTGATCATCTCTCTCAGCCCACTCTACCATGAAGGGCTTGGCATCATTGAAAAACAAAACATATCACAATGACTTGAAAACTCAAAAGTATGAGTAACAATATATATCAAATTAAAGCTCTATATGAAATCATTGACACCTCTAAGCTGATGATTGGCTCAAAAAACACAGAACTGAAATGCTGTGTGCTCAAAAAACACAGAACTGAAATGCTGATGGATGAAACAGGACACCTGAAAATGTAGTAGATACTGCACATTAAGCTATATTTTGCAGAACATCGTTGCATATCATGACTTATTTATCTGGCTTGTTTCCCTGTGGAAGCCTGGGGAATAGAAAAAGACTGTGGCAAATTCACTAGATGCCACTATTGGCATTTTAGGCATTAGGTAAACAGTGACATAATTAGCATTCATGAGTCAAGTAATTACAACGTCAATATAACCAAACAGTGCTGTTAAGACACTTGTGGGCACTTTGCTGAGTCTCCAGCAGTCAGCATTTAGTCCGTGCAGCCAGAAAGACAGAGTTCCTGTGACGCTGCCGTCTCCTCTTACTATCATAGCTGTGTGATTATGTGTGTAATGGCTATAGACTATCACTGTGCAGACATCTTATCTGGTTTGTGGGGGAAAAAATGCCCAAGAGGAGTAGCTACAAAACTGTTTCAACATGAAGCCTCTCCAAACAAGAACACATATTGTGAACTCGTTAGTTTCAACCTTTCAACACTAGCCTGAAGGGAGAGCCTATGAAACGAACCACAAACAGCACATCCTCGCACAGAGACCGTTAAAACAAGTGAGTATACAGCCTAATTGGACAATCCTACATTAACAGCACTTTCAAAATCCTCACCTGGAGAGCCCCTCTAACAAAGATTTACAAACAATTATTGCAGCCAGCCACAGCTGGAAAGCAAATCCTCAGCTTCAGGACAAACTGTAATCCTCATAAGTTTGAACATAAAGCCCCACAGCACTGTCTGAAGCAACAGCGAAGTTACTGAGGAGCACAGTGAAGGGTTTATTCCTGGAAATGTTTCTACATTCTTTTAAAGAATTATGTATACAACGATACAGACTTGATTTTGATTTGATTTGATTTGATCTATTCTTTCAAGCATGTAAAGACAGTTGATATATCAACACACATAATTTTACACATATCCAACAAATGCTAATCCAATATCAATGTGCTTATACCTAGTACATGCTTGAACGGAGTAGGAAGAAGTCAGACTTATCCAGTCCTACCCCATGACATCATCTTACCATCATTGGTTTGCAAGCAGTATCTCTACATAGATAATTCTCTTCTACACCACACAAGACTTGTGTACATCTCCTCATTTTTTGACATTTGGGAAATAATTAACCATAAATGTGACAATAAAAACTGCAGTGCAATGTGTTTTTATTATTGATTTTTTATTTATTCCAGCTCCAAACCTCCCTTTCTTTCTGAGGGTGTCAGGTGACTAAGTCATGCAGTTAAAGCACCAACTCAGCACAATGAATAAGTCAAAACCGAGACGCTTTTACAAAAAATTAAGACTTCATTATTATGATGATGAAATTCACAGCACAGACACTTTTGAGGGCTGTGGACACTTGTGTTTAACACACTACAAGATGGATGGACCCACATTCTTAAACATGGCATATGTGTCCAGCTGACAGACGCAAAATGGGGGTGGAGGGGGGGGTGCAACCTGGAAAACAAGAGCCAAAAACAAACAAACACAGTATTACCATCTTTTCGTCACACTACCTTAACCTTCGAGACCTGAGGGGGAACCCTTAAATCCTTCACTCAGTATGTTCCTAACGCCCACCAGCTGTAGGTACTGACTAAGCATATCCAAATATCATCATTAATACTGCTAGGTGTGAAGTATTTAAAGCATACGATACACTCACCTGCCTGTCTGTTAAAGCCATATGGAGAAAGAAGAGAGGCAGAGGCAACTGAGATCCAACAAAGCTTCAATTAAAAATAGACAACAATAATCTGTTTAATCAGCTTGAACAGCCGCAGTTGGCTGGGTGAAAACTGTAAATTCTGGTTTCCTGCTTGTTTTACTGGTAACAGACAGTGTTGTGTATGAATATTAAAGCTGAAAACCCAGGCCATGAGGGCTGCTGAAAACAATCTGGGAAAACAAACACCAGCACAGAAGATGGCTTTATGAGGTTCACTTTGTAGCCAAGTCCCCTGCTGAGGTCTTATGGGAAATATAGATGACAGCAACAGTTGGATAATGCATCATCAAAACTGGGATGAAAAAAGTGGAGCCTTCCTTCACACAAGACTTTTGTGACAGGTTGCAGACACTGTGGAATATAAATAAAAGTGCTGAACTAAAACCAACTGCGAGCGCACCACACATCATAAGACAGGTGCGAACACAAACATGAGGAGGAGGAGGAAGCAGCATGGAGGTGGCGTCAAAATGCCCACAAATATTTTGGAACACAGCTGTGATTGAAACATGATCTGGTGAGGAAACAGCGGCGCACAGTGTGTATATTCACGTGGCCGTGCTTTCTCCTCAGTATACAAGATCTGCAGACACTGAAACATTCCTCAGCGGAATCACACTCACCATACATTATGCCCTTAACCTCAGTGACACTGAACATCTCAGGTTTCACCAAGTGAACCTGCTGTGTATGAATTCCTGAGAAGCCTTACATGACAGCGTGCCCCAAAGTGCAGCCTGCATGTGTTTCCACATTCACTCTGTGCTGATGAATGTTATACCAGCTCCAGGCCTGGGCCACAATCCTTAAAAAAGCAAAGGCATGAGGTGGGGAGCACAGTGCTAAGTGAGTCTAATCAGTCATGCAGTATATCCATGAACTCATCACAAGTCATTTCACCCCAAGCACATCACTGCAATGACTGTTTACTAAATTAACTAGTTAAGATTGAAGTTTAATTAGAGACACTGGATAAGTGTAAATCACACTGCAGCAGAGACTCACGTTTCACCCAACACAGCGGTTTGTAAACAAACCAGAAGAGTTTTCATCAGTATTAAAAGGGTCTTGGCTCAGATGTTGAGTTGGATGTCATCACTATAGCCTGTTTCATCCTCAGCACACCCTGTAGCGCAGGTTAGTTATTAGACAGGTGAATGTCGCAACGCGCACGGACAGCCGCCGTGCGTGGTGACAGCAAGTTCTGCCGGTTGTAACGATTCATCCTTTATAGGAGTAGGTGAAGTGCTACATAAATACTGGTTTCTTCTTTGCAGAAAAGAACAGGCGCCAGTCTCCTGGAGAAAAACTGTAAAACTGTGATGTAGTTACTTTGACAACTCGGAATGTTTAGTTGGACTAATGAGGTTGGAGAATAACCGCTTTGTGGACTTTTTGATAGAAAACTAAGCCAATATGTCAAGTTAAGAAGTTGTAACCTACTTGTCTAGAATAAACTTCACCCACCTTCTCTTTGTTGTCGTGGTCCGACGGAGGTGAGGTTGGAGATTTAACACTCCCGACAGCAACAGCCTGGGTGACCGTGACACCGCCGCCCGGAGCCGGGCTGCTCTTTTCGATTGTTTCCACCTTGATAAGTCTGTGCTTTGGCGACACATACTTGATATCCGACGGCCCCACAGTGTTCAAGCTCGGGCCGAATGAAATATTTCCACCTGGAGTGTAAGGGTCCTCGAAGTCTAGCTCCTTCTGCAGTTTGTAGGCAGCGAGGATGTCCGGCTGAGCGGGGTTCGGAAAGGTGGCCCCGGAGCTTGTTTGTTGGTAGCCTGGCACAAGGGGCACACCGGTGTGACAGTGTCTGTAGTCCGGTTTGGGAGGCGCCGGAGGGGGTGCTTTGGTCGTTTTGAATCCTAGGTGCTCCTTGAACCACTTGGCCATGCTGCCAGCGCATCGCTTACAAGTCGGTGAATGTAGTTTAGTTCCACCTTCCCTGCCAGCGGAGCCCGAGTGTGTTCGTCAAAGTGGGATCCTCGGGTCACCCGCGGCCAGCCGACCGGGCTCGGAGCGTGTCTCCAGGCTCGTGCGACCCTGTCGGTCCGGAGAGAAGTGCGCGAGCTTACGGGCACTTTCTAATCTGCCCTGGCGCAACTCGGTCACTCACAGACACATAGTCGCCGTTTTCGCTCTGACTCTTCTCCACGTCAGGTTTCCAGACTACGCAACATGGGAGCGCTTGTGCAAGAGGAGCACACGCCCCCTCGCCCTGCCCTCCCTACCTGAGTACGTTCACTGCCACCTACCGGACTTCTGAACCTCCGCTACAAGGCTACCGGCCACCGCTCCATGAAGCCGTCGTCCTCTCAACACCCTCAGATATCCCTCGATGGAGACTTTTAATTTTACATGCAGAATTATGGAGCAAGGCGAGGCCAGCAGCGGGAGGATAAAGGAAAGAGACTCGGTGTTGTTAACACAGTCATTTAAATCTTTATGGCTAGGTCATTACCCACACGTTATTAATATTTTATTTAAAAGACCAGTAAAGGACTGACTTTTAAAAAGTTGGCTAAGTGTATTTCCCATCCCGTTCCAGAAATATTTTTCCAGAATAATGTCTGTGTGCTGCAGAAAATTAGACTTTGAAGAAGAAGAACAGAATTCAGCGCTTAAAGCCCCTTTAGGTCAGCATCTTCACCACCAATTGGGCTCAAGGGTAAAGTGTCCTCTGCTCATTCTCAGTGCTCTCATGTGCAGATGGACACTGCACACTGTTTTAATTGCAAACTGCATTGCAAATGACCACCGGAGAGGGATGCTGGGGTCTATAAAAACACCGAATTCATTACACAGGTCCAGGAGCAGAAGAGGTGAATTGTTCAAAGTAACTATACAAGTAAACATTTCATTCTAAGGCATCTTTCAATCTCCCTGACATACAGGGTTAAAGGTTCACATGCTGAACACTGATTGCCTTTAAAAATCAGATGACAGAATTAAAAAAACCTCCCAGAGACCTACAGTACTTCAGCAACAGTCTGCATTAACAGGAGTCATGGCTGCAGCACAGTGGGTTTTTATGAAGCAATATTTCTTTTTAATAACACCACATACACAGCCTTGGGCAAATCACAGTGTACAGATCAGAGTTTAACCCTGGCAGGCCCCTGGGAGAGACAAGTCCATGCTCTAGAGAACAAAACAAAATCTATTATTTCTGTCCTGAAATCCTGCCACTGCTGCACTTTGGGCATGCACAGAGCAATTTGACCAGTGCAGTTTCCCAGCACTTTATAGGAATAATTTTACCCCACAGCTGAAACATTAATCTATTTAACTAGTGTGTTATACATAAAAGCTTTTAAACAACAGGGGAAATGGTTTAGATAGCCATTAGTTTACTGGAGCACTGGTCGATTTTGTTGTCAGTTCTGGGAAAAACTATCTCTAACTTGCACATCATATAGTATATTTAGGGTTACATGTAACTTCAGTGCTGCATTTATCTGTGCGCAGGATGTGATATAAATATTGCTGGTGCTGCAGAGTAATAGCCTGTCTCTAGCTGCAGGTATTAGAGGATCTGTGGTAGGCTGGGACAGGTGTGTCATTTAGGTGGCTAAGCTCGATTCACATCACAGATCTTTTATTGCATTGCTACAACTGCATTCAGCAATTTCTTGCAGCTTCCTTCACTGACACCCTTTAAAATGCAAATCCTGTAATCCAGTCCCTGAGTGGATACACATAGCCTGCACAGACACAGTGGTTGCCTGGGGCAGTTTATGTAGAAATGTATTGAATTTCTGCTAAGTTATCCTTAATATAATATGAGTTGCTTTCAGTGTATTAGCACAGTTTGTCAGTTTTTCTCACCAGATAAAACAAACCAAAAAACCAAAAAGTGTCTAGTTTTCAGTGGTTTCAAGTGCTGGCTTGAATCAGACATGATGATAGATTATGTTTGCTATAGGTGAATGATAGGGTCAGTTGCTGTACAGCTCAAAGGTTTGGCGTGGTATCTGTGTCATGTGATAAGTTTTTCCCCTTTTTTAGATGCTGCTGGAGAGGATGTAGTGGAGCTAGACAACGAGGACAAGATGTATCAGAACATATAAAGGAAATATTTTAGGGCTACTTAGTGATATACAGTTACATGTTACATTGGTCAGTTTTGTCAGACTGCAGTGCGTACAGTTATTGCATGCTTAACGCTCAGTCTTGTAATGTCTTGGAATCCTTTGTTTTCTTGCCTCAGTAGTTCAGTGAATTGTGCAGAATAATGCTTCTGAATTTCAAAGTATTTCACCAATAAACTATTCAACTGCTGTATTACTACAATATGAGTAAAAGTGTCAGCTGAAAAATGTAAAGCTTTCTTCTCTGCATTAAATGTATGCTTGCATTTTAAAACAGGCTGGTGGAGGCTGTAACTGTGTCATATGATGGAAAAAATGACTATATGAAAAAATATTGCATAACAGTAGCACTTTATATAAACACATACATTTATGTTCAATACACACAATAGCTTATACTATCAAGAAAAATAAGAATTAGATATTCATTTGACTGTAACTTGTCAAAAACATGTATGTTTTTTATTTAAACAGTCACATACACTGAAACTGAGATGTTTTGTTCGAATGGGAATAAAATCTATTAAAGCACCAAACTGTCCAAATATATGGGCTATAACCTGAAATAAATTGACCAAAATAATACAACGAAGTACAGTTCTCAACATAAAAAGAATGGGTTTCAATTTTTGTAGCCATAATATTTTGTCAACAAATAGATTGCAGTAGCAGCAGGTAGTCTCTTTCCCATTCTCTGATTTATGTTTTCTTAATTGTATTCTCTTGCTCTCCTCTATCTCCTCTTCACAATTCAAATTCATCTCCTGTAAGTCATCCAAATATTGTTTTAAACTCCGTTCCTTCTTACAGCACATGAATTATTTATCCAAACATTTACACGCTGTCTGATAAACATACAGAACATCCGCTCCCCAGTGGTCTCCAAGGAAACATGAAAAAGTGATTTAAGCACTTGCTGGACATTTAGTAAAAGATAATGCATCAGGTGCTTTTTCTTGCCCCTCGCCATTCAGGCTGTTAGTTTTTGATTAGGTTCTCCAGGCTGGGTCAGTTAGAACATCTGTGAAGGTGTAACCTTCTCCTGTCTGTCAACAGATGTATCACCAAGGTCCTCAAGCAAGGAAATCAATATTTAATTGCTCAAGTTGACAGCAGAAGATATGGTCACAGTGCAAAACTCTCACTGTGAATGTACTGTAGGAGACAGTTTTATGAGGTGAGGCATCTGCTGATACATGTATTAACAAAGTCAAAAAAGCCTCATTTTATAGCTACACATGCCATGTAACCTCAAAGTTCAATTAAACATTAAGTCATCCAAATCAAAAAAGAAATGCACGGGCCTCTTATCTTGCTTATTATGGCACATATTAATCATACTCAATGTCTGCTGGTATCAAGCTAGCTACACTCCAAATAAAATAAATTAAAAAGAATGTTTCGAGTTCGAGCCCAGGCCGACTCTGAGCCTTTCTGTGCGGAGTTTGCATGTTCTCCCTGTGCCTGTGTGGGTTTTCTCTGGGTGCTCCAGCTTCCTCCCACAGTCCAAAGACATGCAGCTTAGGTTGACTGGTGACTCTAAATTGCCCATAGGAGTGAATGTGGGTGAGTGTGTTTGTCTGTCTCTAAGTGTCAGCCCTGTGATAGACTGACAACCAGTCCAGGGTATACCCCGCCTCTTGCCCGATGTCAGCTGGGATTGGCTCCAGCACCCCTGCAATCCTCATTGGGATAAGTGGTATAGATAATGGCTGGATGGAAAATAAAAATACAGGGCCATCTGTCTATTGTAATATCAGCTTTTATCATCCAGCATACACACTTCAAGTGTAAACCCCTCATTAAACCATCTTCTCCCCTCTAGGTAGGCCTCGTCCTCATGACTTACATTGATATTTTAAGACTTTATGGATTTTAAGTATTTATTTTGATCATCCAGTCTCTCTATTTCATTGTAAGGATCTGTATGATATAAAAGTACAAGTGCATAATGCAAGCAAACAGAGGAAGTTCATCTCAAAGTCATATACATTCATGGTATCAGCACAAACCATGCACAGTAATGGTCTACCTGATGACTAATAAAACCATGTTACCCTGTGGGGTTCCATCTCTTGTGTTTGAGCCTGTGTGTGGATCAATTCTCTGCATTTCTTCAGTCTGACTGCGGCTGTGTTTGCTTTCCATGCTGGGATTTTAAAGTACAGCTCTATCAGCGTCTCATCCAGCAATTGTGTGGCTGTCACCTTTGGTTGTTCCAGAAAGGCTCGCTACTGCAGAGATGAAATGAAGTATTAATGGGCGTCTCTGCTGTGAAGGAGGACAAGGACAGCTTACTAATTTGATTTATGTGTGTGGTCCGCCCGTCTGCCCGGACGCAGGTGTGCATAGATATGAGCTAAACGTACATTCAATTTTTTATTACACATTTTGATAGCAACAGTATAAACAGGTGCAGTAGTGCAGCATTGTGAAACCTGACCTTCTCCCTGAGATGGAAGTTTTTGATCTTTTAGAGTATTAGTATTACGATGCTTTGACATGTAATCACTTACCTGTTTTTACTGGTTAAAGTGGAATTCTTTTAAGCTACATTATATAATGCTGACTAGTGTATATGTTTTTATGTAAAACAACTTGTAAATAACTGGTAACTAGTAACAGCTAATGGAATAAAATGTATCTCTTTCTCTGAAATTTAGGGAGCAGAAGTATTACGCTGCATGTAGTACAGTATGTTTCTTCACACCAAACCTACAGCAAGTACAGTTCTTAATTAGATGTACTTAGTAACTTTCACCACTGCAGAGATTAGAATGTACTTTTTCCTTATGAATTTTCAGAAGTGATGATTTGTGCAAGAATGAGCACGGGCTGTTACCGTAAACATTAGACCCCCTTTTTCCTCAACTTACTTCTTGTATGTATGAGCGGGCATTACCACCAAATTTGGGAACGATCTGGCATCAAATAAGAGAATGCTCAGAATGATCAATATCAACACCAGTAATTTTTATTGCAACTATTGCAGAGTGGTGGCTGTCTGAGCTTTTGTGTGTAACCCGATGATGCCCTCAGTATATAAAAGCAACAACTGTGTGAGATGTGTCTCCTGCAGGTTTGCACAGTGAGTGTGACTAGAGCCACTGACCTTCGTTTTAATAGAATCAATCAAGGCATTGCTCTGGTTCTCCTAAAAGATCACTCATCACACTCGTGTACAAATCATGAGATGCTGTTATTGCAGGGTAAACAGAGTACTTACAGACTGGCTCACTGAGGGGCTAGATCTAATCTCAGGTGTTTGATGTT